TATGAGAATGATGGAAAAGATGCCCGCACCAAGATGGCGGCGACGTTGACGTACGAACTAGTGGCCAATGAGGCGTCTAGGTATTTTATATGTCTATGGTTGCAACGGCTTGCTTCGATGAATTCTTCTTCTTCTTCTGGTCTAGGGATGGGCGTATCGATCCGAAGTATCGATATATCGATACTGACGCGAGTATCGAAAGTATCGATACTCAAACAAAAAATATCGATACTAAGGTATGTTTTATTTACGAGTGATTTTGTTTATTTAACAAAAAAATAATAATGCGTTTAATATGTATTGAATTGGACGAATAACCCATGTTAGCGAGTAATTGTGTAGGATAGAACTATTTTCCTGCTCATCTGAACACACGCAAATGTTGCAAGACAGAACTAATCAATCACAGAGAGCGTTCACTCACTTCTGACAGTGCATTCAAACAGGGCTGCTTTTCCCAAAAGTATCATAAGAAAGCATTAAAGCTTTTGGGAACGGCAGCCCTGAACAATGCTTATCAGAGAACAGAAATACAGAGTTATTTCACAATAAACAAACTGAAATTGTAGCCTACATTGTTTGTGCAATTACAGTTATTTAAATTGAACGTTGAAAGATAATATTGTTCTCCCATTTCAACTTGTAATGAAGCCACCGGAGAAGATCTAAATGCTCCACAGCAAATGCGCAAAGCTTGATTTTGTATTACCTCTATCTTTTTAAGTAAGGTTTTGTTCGCAGAACTATAAACTACACTGCCATAATCTATGTTTGACCTAATCACAGCACCATAAATGATTTTCAATGACTGACAGCTTGCCCCCCACTCAGCTCCGGACAAGCACCTTAAGACATTTATTCCTTTTTTGCATTTTTCTATCAATTTCTGAATATGAATTTTAAAATTTAATTTACAGTGCATCCACATACCCAAAAATCTTAGTACATTTACTTGTTCCAGCTGATAACCATACATTTTGACATTCAAAATTGGATTCTTTTTCTTTTTCGAAAAGCATATTACTTGTGTTTTTGCCACAGAAAACCGAAAACCCCAACAATTCACCCAATTCTCCACCTCATTCACTGCTTTTTGCATTTGATTTTCTACAAATAAAACATTGCGCCCCCTTTTCCATAGTGCTCCATCATCCGCATACAATGATCTTCCTATTCCAGTATCAGCGTTATGAAAGATGTCATTTATCATTAAATTAAAAAGAATAGGACTGCTCACACTTCCCTGCGGAGTTCCATTCTCAATTGGGAGAATCTGATAAAAAGCAGTCCCTACTCTTACTTGAATTGTTCTTCCAAACAAGAAACTCAGAATCCAGTTATACATTTTTCCATCAATTCTCAAGCTTTCCAATTTCATTAAAAGCCCCTCTTTCCACAACATATCGTACGCTTTTTCTACATCAAAAAAGACTCCCACAAGCACCTCTTTATTAATTTGAGCTTTTCAAATTTCAGCTTCCAAACACATTATTGAATTCATCGTATTTCTCCCTTTTCTAAATCCACTTTGACATACTGAAAATATGTTTCTACTTTCAATCACATAACCATCCGTTCCATAAGTTTGCATAAATTTGATGTCAGCGCAATAGGTCTATAATTAATTGGCTGAGAATTGTCTTTTCCTGGTTTGGCTATTGGCAATGTATGACCCCATGCTTCCAATCTTCTGGCAAATTCCCGGTCTCCCATATTTTGTTAAAAAGTCTTAAAATCATACTTAATGATAATTCTGATAAGTGCTTTATCATCGCATACCATATGCCATCCTTGCCTGGAGAAGTATGTTTGACCCCTGCAAACCCTCTCTTTAACTCATACAAAGTTAAGTCTGAGTCTAACATACTTCCTGATGGATTCTTTACATAAATGTGAGTATCCTCCCTAACTTTCTGTTCCCTATATCTCCTCATATTATCTGAAATATTACCATTACTGTGCACCTTTACGAATGCTTCTTCGATGAATTAAATCCGGTTTTTGGATGCTTTCCTCTTGTGGCACAGCAAGGAATAGACTAATTGCTGCTTTTTCGTCAGTCAAGCCCGTTTGATAAGGTCTTCTTCTTCTTTTGGAGTTTTATGGCGGTTGGCAAACAAACGATAGGTGCATTCCCGCCACCTACTGGGCTGGAGTGTGGACCATTGATGGAATAGGAAGATTATATAAAAAAAATAACATTATATAATAATAATAGAAAAAAATTTAATAAAAAATTTAACCCTTCTAAATCCTGTTAAACAGATCTACTTTTTTAAAAGAATGTCATTAAAGCATTATATATTTTATAATGATTCAAGCCATTATTCAACAAAGTTTTAAGTGTAATATTTTCTATCCCTATTTCTTTTAATTCTTCCAACAGAAACGCTCTTTCATTATCATAAGCAGAACAGTGTAATAGTGCATGCTCTACCGTTTCTGGTAATCCACACAGACTACAGTTCCCAGACTCATGCTTATTCATTTTATATAGAGAAGAATTTAAAGCAGTATGGCCCATGTGAAGTCTGGTAATAATTGTATCTTCTCTTCTACTACCAAAATTAACGCTTTCAACCCCAACTTGATTTTGAATATGATAAAGATGTCTTCCTCTCTCCTCCTTATTCCAAATTTCTTGCCATCTCATTTTTATTGCTGTTCTAATTTTAGCCTTAACTTCTTCTTTGCTCAGTGGTATAATAATTTCTATATGTGATCATTTCAGTGCCTGTTTTGCTAAATGATCCGCAACCTCATTTCCATCCACTCCCACGTGTGCTGGAACCCACAGGAAACATATCTTAATTCCTATCTTATTCACTCTATACATACATAAAAGAATTTCATACAAAATGTCTTGTCTTGAAGATCTTCCACTGATAAGACTTGATAATGCAGAGAATGAATCTGAACATATCACCGCATTCATTGGCCGAGTATCCTCCATCCACCTGGTAGCTGATAATATTGCTACCATCTCTGTAGTGTAAACTCCTACTTGATCAGAAACTCTTTTACCAATCTTGATTCGATAAGCTGGGACAAATACAGCTGCTGATGCTCGTCCTGTCTCGTGATCGTTTGATAAGGTCAATTAAGCATGCAGTAAATTATGAGGGTCCGGACAGCCCATTAGGTGAAAGATCGAGTTTTAGTTATGTGTCTAACAAACTGTTCATTGCATGGTGCTGACAACAATGAAAACAAATGTTTAGCTAAATATGGTTGGATATTTGGGCACCATTGCCTATAAAAGGCATCTCAAACAAGGCTCTTGTACTATCCTGGCATTCCTGTTATTGTAGGAACCATATTATATTTATTTGATATGAAATTATAGGCTATTTATATGACACCATATTTTATTTATTTGAACCACTCTTTAAATCTGTCTTTGTGTGAAAGAAAGAAAGAAAGAAAGTGAAGCTACTGAAATTGTTATAGTATAGCCTATTCCTGCAGGGTATGGGGGAAAAAACACAATAGAAACCCTCACAGAATTTGTAATGGTTTTAATGGTTATAATGGGAATGGTATTGGTATGTGCCCCTATTATGGATTTTTGAAAATGACCTTTAAAATTTTTTTTGCCGATATTGGTAGTTTAGTTTCAAGGTCAGAACACTTACAGAAATTATCCTGTAAATTAAGACAGTTGTGGTGTTTGAAACCGACATAGAAAAACAGCATTTGTTTAATTTGACATTTGTTTTAAAACCTGAGTTACTGAGTTACTATAACTTCCTCATGCTAGAATTAGCCCCATGGCTCACCTATGTCCTTTTTTTGTGTGGATTATTGTGATGTTTTTATCAGCTGTTTGGACTCT